CTACAGAGAAGAAATAAAACGATAATAGTAATAATAATTGTTTACTGAACGCCATGTATGCACCAAGCACTTTACATTGTTTACATACATTTACGTTGTTTTTATGCCCCGAAACAGCCCCAGAGGTAGGTGTTTTGATTTCCGTTCCATGGACGTGCAGCTCAGAGAGAACCAGTAACCTGCCTGGGGTCACACAGGGGAGGCAGGCACGGGTGTGAGGCCCAGGTCCCCTGGCTCCACAGCCCTCGCCCTTCCCACCGCACCACGGCAGCCCTTAAGTAGCCCCTGCTCAGGGGACATCACGGGATGGTCATGGCAGGTGTGTGGACACGTCGTCACAGCCAGGAGTGACTCTGATGAGACAGTCATCAACCGTGACCGGGTCTGGGAAGGCTTCCGGAAGACGTGACTGCTGAGTGGGTCCTCAGAAAAGAATGTTCCGGGCAGGCCACGAAGTGGTGGGCGTTATGGGCAGAAGGAGCAGCACACGAACGGCGCAGAGGCACGTCTTGGGGGTGGGTGGGGGCCTCTGAGGCAGCAGCCAGGACAGACGGGGAGGAGCCAGGCTCAGAGGAAGCAGGGGTGGTGGGCAGAGGGCTCCACGAGGCAGATAGGGTTTCGACTGGGTCCCGCTGGCGGGGGCAGGGCCGCGAAGGCTTGAGTGCGGGAGAATGGTGCTTTTGGAGGATGGAGACTGGGGCGCAGAGCCCAGTGGGGAGATGCTGAGGCCTGAACTGAGACAGGACCTGGGGACCCGGAGGAGCACGTGACTCTAGAGGTCAGGAAGGTGGAATCCGGAGGGCTTGGTGACCAGATGAGCCCTGCGGCAGGCACGTCAGCTCCTGTGGGCACTCCAGGCCTTCCTCGGGCTGCTCCTCCTACGACTTCTGACCAAGGGAGCACCAGGGAAGGCTTCCTGGAGGAGGTGGTGTCTGAGCTGAGGCTCAAAGAACAAGTAGGGTAGCCAGGTGCAGAAAGTCAAAAGGATATTCCAGAGAGAGGAAAGGAGCAAATGTACCAATGTCTCTTTCTCCCGAGTGTCAAGATGTATGAGGTGACTTTTTGTCTTGGCTCCCTGACCAGAGGGTACCCCCCAACTTCTGACAGCCTGAAACACCCCCTCATGCTCCAGCTCAGCCTTCATGTTTCTAGAGTTTGCTTTTTTCAAAAGGACATTGTGAGCCCAGAGGGGTACATATGGGATAGGAAGGCCCCTGAAGCTGAATGCCTCAGGGCCATTGTTAGGAGTGATCACAAATAGACAGAAAGGAGCAAAGTGAGGGAGTCGGGGTGGGGGGTGGCGGGCTTGTCTGGCAATTAGGGAAACAGAGGGAGGCCGCTTAGGCCAGGGACCCACAGGGCTGTCATGTCCTGCACTGCAGACAGAGGAGAGAGGAGCCTGGAGGGGTGGGAGGGGGCGTATTCTGGTACAGGACCCTCTGGGGAGGAGCCAGGAGCTGGTAACTCTATTTGAGGCAGTGGTTCTGAATGGGGTTGGCGGGGATGACTTTGTCCCAGGAGACAATTTGCAATGTCTGAAGACATATTTTTTAATTAATATTCTTATTGAGATATAACTGACATATAATATTATATTAGTTTCAGGTGTACAACATAATGATTCGATATGAGCATATATTGAGAAATGATCACCACCGTAAGTCCAGTTAACACTCATCACCACACATAATTATAACTTTTTTCTTATGATGAGAACTTTTAAGATCTACTCTCTTAGCAACTTTCAAATATACAGTACGGTATTGTTAACTATAGTCACCATGCTGTACATTACACCTCCAGGCCTTACGTATTTTAGAGCTGGAAGTTTGTACTTTTGATTCATTTCACCTCCTACCCCCACCCCCCACCTCTGACAACCCGTACAGAGAACAACAATCTGTTCTCTGTATCTATGAGTTCCGTTTTGGGGTTTTTTTTTCAAGTTCCGCGTATGAGTGAGATCATACAGTATTTGTCTTTCTCTGTCTGACATCTTGCACTTAGCGTCATGTCCTCAAGGTCCGTGTCTGTGGTTGTGAAAGGCAGGATTTCCTTCTTTTTTGTAGCTGAATAATATTCTCCTGTATATATATACCACATTTTCTGTATCCATTCATCTATCGATGGACACGTGGGTTGTTTCCATGTCTTCGCTATCGTAAATAATGCCTGCAGACATCTTTGATTGTCACCACTGAGAGGGTGCTTCTGGCATCTGGTGGGTGGAGGCCAGGAATGCTGCTCAACATCCTACAATGCACAGGACAGTCCCGACCACAAAGAGTTATCGGGCCCGAGATGTCAATGGTGCCAAGGTGGAGAGGTTTTGCCAGCTGGGTCGGTTCAGCTCTGAACCACAAACACTGACCTGGCACATTGTTCCCCTTCAGGCACCAGGAACTGGGCCTCAAGGTGCCCACAGCGAGTGGACAGAGGAGGTGCCAGCGACAGTGCAGGGAGAAAGTGCTGAGATGGAGATCAGGGACGGTGAGAGCCCAGGGCAGCCTTGCGTCGGGCAGGGAGCAGGAGAGTTAGCCAGGCGAGGAACGGCGGGAAAAGCATTCCCAACAGAGGCAACGGCATGGCCAAGTGCAGAGAGCCAAGAAAGCACACCACGTGCTGGAAGGATGAGCAGTTTGCACGTCCAAGAGAGACGTGCAAAGATGGAAGCAGCAGGAGGGGAAGCTGAAGGAGAGCTACGGGCCAGGCCCCGCAGCCTGGACTTCATCCTGTGCACCGTGGAGAGCCCAGGGGGCCTTTTAAGCAGCAAAATGAAATGGTGAGATGTGTGGCTGATGCTGCAGCGTGAAGAACAGGTTTATGTAAGAGCTCTGCAGGGCGTGAGAAGACTGGGCCCAGGGGAGCAGTCCCTGGGCTATTGCCATTGTTCAGGAGAAGGTAACACGAAACAAAGTAGCCCAGCACTTCGAAAGCTGAAAATAGGGCTAAGCTGATTGATTGCTTTGCCCTGTCAAGGGATTAGCTGTTGCAGGTTGGCGTCTCCAGGAATCAGGTGCTGAGAAGGGGTCAGGAGGGCACAGTCGCATTGGGGAGTAACTCTGGGAAAGGAAATGGGCAGAAGCAGGATTGGGCAGGGGGGCGGTGGATCACAGTGCCACCTGGCGAAGTCTCTGCAAGCCCAGTGCTTGTGCATTCCAGGGGCGCCCCACTGGGCAGAAATGCCTGGGCCCTGGGCCACCACCACGTTCAGTCGTGGGCTGGGAGCCACTGTGAGAACAGCATTACTTGGGCTTCCAAGTTGAGGAGGACGCCTGCGAAGCTAAGAGCTGGAGGCTGTCAGCTATCTACACTGCTCACAGCCAAGCAGTGAGTCCTTTCCCGAAGGGGACTTGAGGAGTGGGTCTCCGTGTCTGCCATGCTAGTCACACAAGGTACTCTTCCTCATCCAGTCACAGGAACCTTGTAAGAAGGGGTGTGGGGCAAGTAGAAACAAACTCTTTTTATGAACACATATAGAACAGGAAATTAAATTGATCCTTTAAAAAAAAGAAAGAGAACACAACTTTTAAGAGAAAGAAGAGAGATTTTTGTTCTAGGAAACTCTGTTAAGAGCTGAGCATTATGTTTAGCTGAGAGCCTCCTGGCAGCCAAGGTGAAAAGTGGGGAGGGGCCACGGGGGGACAGGTTATAAAATTCCCCTTATTTTGTATGGAAAGCATGTATGTCAGGGAGGAGAGAGAAATGTTTTCCTGCCCTAAAACTCTAGGATTACTTTATCACATGAATGTTGCATTTTGAATTTTGGGAAGTATTAGAAATACTTTGATTTAGTGCATGACGTGGAAATGTTACTTGTTCAGCTACTTCTCCTATTTATCCTTAATAAATGCCAGGAAAAGTATTAAATCATAGCTTACAAAAGAGACATCTGAAGCAGTTTGCAGGATACCACTGGAAATAACACCCCAGAGCCTTTGTAGGCTTACTTCTTGGAAAATCTGGAGCAAGTTTAATGGCTTTTTTTTTTTTTTGCTACTTAAAAAGAGCAATTTCACGTGTCCTGTGGTGCCGAGCAGTGTTTTTAAGGATGATGCCCACTGTGTCTGGAATGGACTGTCCACGGGAGCCGTCACAACAGCCACCTTTCCCTGTAGGAGGATGAATATCAGAGCACTGAATATTTAAATCCACATTCTAAAAGCGTCTCCCACAATCTGATGATTATGACCTCAGGGGTCTAATCAGTCAGCCCACCTTCACGCATATATCCGTGGAGGTTCACACAATTAAGGTCTCGGTGAGAAAGGACGGGTTCACTGAGGCTGGAAATGTGCAGTGTTCAGCCTGGAAAAAGCACAAGTCACGTGGGTGAGTTTGACTCCTGGCACGATGAGCTCTGAGAGTGTTTCCACCCGAGGTTTCTGTATTTCAGAGGGTCACACGGAAAGGGCCCTAGAGGTCATTTGGTTCAATCCTCCTTCCGATGACAGAATCGGCTCCCAGGCGTCCTGGCCAAGTGGTGATCTGATCTCCGTCTGGACACCTCCAACAAGGATGAGCACACAGGGCCAGGCAAACAGGAGGTGCTCACTAAATATGCATTGAAAGAGCACCTCCTATGTGCAAAGCTCTGAGCCAGGGTTTAGTGTGTATTATATCATGCAATTATTACAGCAGCTGCATGAGGCAGGAGTGATTACAGAAGATGAACGGGGGTGCTGTTCGTCTACCCAGTGGTAGAGACGGGATTTGAACCCTGGGCCTGCTCTGCTTTGCAGCAGGGGCAATCAGGAGACCCTGGTTCTCTCCTGGCTCTCCTCCTAGCCAATCAGGTGACCTTGGGCAAGTCATTGTGTCTCTCTAGGCCTCTGTTTTCCTATTTTTAAACAAGGGCTTGGGACCCCCTGGTTTCGAAGGCCCCTGCCAGCTCCACCCCTGACAAGGTGTGTGCCTGGGTGGAGGGACTGTCCCTGCAGGGCCCGGCCTTAGACACATCATGATCCATGGTGAAAGTCCGTGTGTGTCCCTGTTTGCAGCCTTCCAGACATTCCTGGGCAAAGAGGACGTCTCCCAAGAGATGGAGGAGGTCCTGGCGGAGAGGCGTGTGCAGAGGAACATCCGCCTGGTGTCCGTGCTGGAGCTGCTCAGGAGTCCCTTCGTCCGCTGGCAGGTGGTCACCGTGGTCCTCACCATGGCCTGCTACCAGCTCTGCGGGCTCAACGCGGTGAGCGTCCCTGCACCAGCGGAGGAACCCGAGGGAGGAGTGGGAGGGCGGTTCATGGCCTGGGCCCTGGACGCCCAGGTTCCTATCCCAGCTCTGCCACCTCCACCAGCTCTGTGCCACTGGGCACCCACATAATCTGATCCCCAGTCTCCTCATCTGTGAAATGGGAGAACACTGAAAGAAACGATCCATGCAGAGTGTTCAATGCAGCAGCCAGCACAGAGTGATCCCTTAATAAATGCTGCCTATCATTATAATTACTTATCCCTAGAGACCCCTAAAAGTCATATTTCTTAATAAAATGGGTATTAGGAAGTCATAAGTGGGAGACATTGAAATGATTTAAATAAAAGTACTCTTCGGGCCGGCCCAGTGGCGTAGTGGTTAAGTTCGCGTGCTCCACTTTGGTGGCCCAGGGTTCAAAGGTTCAGATCCTGGGCATGGACCTACACACCGCTCATCAAGCTGTGCTGTGGCAGCATCCCACAAACAAAATAGAGGAAGATGGGCACAGATGTTAGCTCAGGGCCAGTCTTCCTCACCCCCCGCAAAAAAAGACGACTCTTGGCTGGGCTGGCTTCAGCGCATGACTTCGACCTGAGAAAATCTTAAAGCTTTAAAGAAAAAGTTTCTTGGGGCCTGAGCTGAGATGGCAGGGAAGTTGGAGGAGAAGGTCTCCTGTGAGGTCCCCAAACCCTCTCATGGACGCAGCTCCTGGTCTCTCTTGAGGGCTCCAGAAGGTAGAATCCAGGGATTCGAGGAATAGGAAGGCAGGCTTGGGATCATTATCATCATCATTATTGTTGCTTCTGGAAAACAGTGTGTTGCCTCCGGGGTGGTAAGTTCCCTACTCATGAAGGTGTGCCAGCCACTGGCCAGCCACTTGACAGGGGCGTGTAGAGGAGATTTTTGCACTAAAGCATCCGAATGCCTTCTGAGGTCACTTATGTAGCTCAGGAGAAGTGTGGCAGGCCCCAGAGGGAGGGAGAGGGGACCTTCTGAAGAGTCCCAGACACGCTGAACCTCTGTGTTTATTTACACTGAATGAGCATGAGCCTGGCATCCTCTAAAAGTTGGTGGTAGGGGGGTGTTGGGGTGTTTAGGGGAGGTAACGTGGAAAGGGAAAAATGACAGCATAGAAAGTTACGCCACATGTTCTGCCTCATTCCAACAACTCTTGATTCTATTTTCAGAAACACTGAGATGAATGAGATTGTCTTGCACCTTAATTCTTTTTACCTGTTCCTTGGTCTGGTTGAAGTCCAAAGAGTGAGGAAGCACCTGGGTCAACAGCATGACCTTGGGCAAGTCCTGCTGTTGCCCTCCTTTACAAGACCAAGGTGGTGCTGGACCCTCTCGAAGCCACCCTCCCGGTTCTGAGAGAGCAGAGAGAGAATGTGTCCATTTCTTAAAGCTCACACTTGGAGTCGAAGAAGCCGCATATGGAGCCTGTATTTAATGAGGCATTTAGATAGAGAACCATGACTTTTCTAAGGAGAATGCACTCCTCCGCTGAGACATAATTTTCCGATTTGCATACGCTGTGTAACTTTATACATTCCACCAGGGTGTATCTGTAAGCCCCAATACATAAGTGTCTGATGGGAAAAAAGCATCTCGTCTGCTCCCAGACCAGCAGTGGTGAGAGCTCAGCTTCAGAATATTCTGCCCTCCTCGTATTCAGTGCTTTTCCTCTCTTTTTTTTATTGTTGTGGAACACTGACATGAGAGCTACCCTCTTAACAACTGTTGAAGTGTACAGTACAATGTTGTTGACTATAGGCACAGTGTTGTACTGCAGATCTCTAGAGCTATTCATCTTGCATAACTGAAACTTGATACCTGTTGATCAGCAACTCCTCCTCCCCCCTCTCCCAGCCCCTGGCAACCATCTTTCTACTCTCTGCTTCTGTGAGTTTGACTATTTTAGATATTTCACATAAGTGGAATCATGCAGTATTTGTCCTTCTGTGACTGGCTTATTTCACTTACCGTAATGTCCTCCAGGTTCATCCATGTTGTCACATATAGCAGGATTTCTGTCTTTTTCAGGCTGAATAATATTCCATTGTATGTATATATCACATTTTCTTTATCCGTTCATCCATCAACGAACACTTAGGATACTTCCACATTTTGGCTATTATGAATAGTGCTGCATTGAACATGGGAGTGCAAATATCTTTTAAAGATCCTTCTTTCAACTCTTTTGGGTAAATACCCAGAAGTGGAATTGCTGGATCATATGGTAGTTCTGTTTTTCATTTTTTGAGGACCCTTCATACTATTTTCCATAGTGGCTGCATCAGTTTACATTCCCAAGAACAGTGTGCAAGGGTTCCCATTTTTCCACATCCTCACCAACACACACACACACACACACACACACACATATTTAATATTAGCCATCCTAACAGCTTTGAGGTGATATCGTGTTGTGGTTTTGATTTGCATTTCTGTGATGGTTAATGATGTTGAGCATCTTTTTATATACCTGTTGGCTATTTGTATGTCTTCTTTGGAGAAATGTCTATTCAAGTCCTTTGCCCATTTTTTAATGGGGTTATTTGGAGATTTTTTTGGTTTGGTTTGGTTGTTGTTTGCAATTGAGATGTAGGAGTTCCTTATATATTAACTCCTTATCAGATATATGGTTTGCTAACACTTTCTCCCGTTCTGTAGGTTGCCTTTGCACTCTGTTGATTATTTCCTTTGCTGTGCAGAAGCTTTTTAGTTTGATGTAGTCCCACTCGTCTATTTTTGCTTTTGGTATTATATCCAAAAAATCATTGCCAAGACCAATGTCATGAAGCTTATTTTCCCCTATATTTTCTTCTAGGAGTTTTATAGTTCCAGGTCTTATTCTTAAGTCTTTAATCCATTTTGAGTGAAGAAAAGGGTCCAATTTCATTATTTTGTATGTGGATATCCAGTTTTCCCAGTGCCATTTGTCAGAGAGACTATCCCTTCCCCAGTGAATATCCTTGGCACCCTTGTTGAAGATAGTTGGCCATACATGCATGGGGTTTATTTCTGGGCTCTCTGTTCTGTTCCATTGGTCTATATGTCTGTCTTTACGCCAGCACCATACTGGAGTTTTCATTTTAATTACTGGAGTTTTGTAATTATTTTAAAATCAGAAAGTGTGATGCCTCCAGTTTGGTTCTTTCTCAAGATTGTTTTGGCTATGCATTGTCTTGTGTTGTTCCATATGAATTTTAGGATTTTTTTCTATTTCTGTAAAACATGCCATAGGGATTTTGATAGGGATAGCATTGAATCTGTAGATTGTTTTGGGCCTGGATAGTATGGACCTTTCAACAATATTAAGTCTTCCAATTCATGAACACAGAATATCCATTGTTGCTGATCTTAGAGGAAAAGCTTTCAGTTTTTCACCATTGAGTATGCCGTTAGCTGTGGGCTTCTCACATATGGCCTTTATTATGTTGAAGTAATTTCTTTCTATTCTTAGTTTGTTGAGGATTATTTAAGTCTTTAAGTCAAGAGTAATACTTCCAGCTTGGCATGCTTAACTTGACATAGACAAGACCAGAACAAGACCAGAGGCCTGGCTGTCTGTCTCACCATGACCACAAACCTGCAGTGAGAAACCGGACCAGTTGCTTTCCCTCACCCAGCCTTTGTCTGCTCGGCTGTGATAATAATCAAGCACACACTTATTTAGCACTTAGCATGAGCCAGGAGCTGCCCCCATGGTAGCTCTATGAGTTAGGCACCACTGGTAGGCACAGAGACGTTGAGAGACTTTCCCAAGGTCATAGCTAGGAATGGTAGAAAGGGGATTTGAGCCCCAGCTGTTTGGCCAGAAGGTCTGGGTGCTTATACCCCAAGCAGGGAGGGTCCCCAAGGCCCCCTGAGAGCATCCCCATGAGTGTCACTGGGCTGTATGCCCAGGTCATCCTGTTACCAATTGAAGTCTCTCCCCAACTGGGAGAGACCCAAGGAAGGGTCTCTTGCCCTTCCTCTTGGGGTTCTTTCTCTGTTTGGTGTTGCAACTTTGACATGAGACCGAAGCTAAGCGTTCAATAGCACAAGCTTTATGCAATGGCCAGAGAATGGAGAAGTGGGAACAAAGTTCAGAAATCAACTTCTCAGCTCCTGGGGCGATTAAGCAGCTGTTATAAGGGGTCTGCGTAATGAAGGGGCGGAATATTCACAATGGTTCAGAGAACTGGTTAGGCTTTTGGGGGAAATTGGGTGCCACCTCTTTTCCTTCCTTATTTGGTGATATCCTGCCATTGCCGTGGCAGTTGTAAACTGTCATGGCGCCAGTGGGTATGTTGTGTAGCATGGTAGCGTGTTACAGACCACGGAGAGTACAATGAGCTGCAGGGTCTATGTCGGGTCAGGTCAGACTGCCATGTTGCCTTTAACCAGTTGTGACTGGTTTTGTTCAGCCATCTTCTCCGTCCTCTCTTTGTGGTGTCCTACAAGCTAAAGACAACACGTTAGGCTTGTTCTAAGCAGGGTTGTGGTTAATGTCCTATGGGGCCGGGGGCCAGGGTTACAATCCCTAGGCAGCCAATGGGACATGTCTTACTTCTTCTGTTTTACATGAAAAAGGACAAACACCGGTTAGCAGCAAACCCCAGCATCACAGCCCCACTGTCCTGTGCTCGGTCCAGGCTCTCCTCCTGCACCCACTGCCTTTTCATCCAAATAATTCATGAAACCAAGGAAGAGAGCTGTCCAGTACAGATGAAAAACTTTAAATGCCCTTTAAAACTTGCTTTGTCCCTTTAGCTTGACCAGAAATTATTCTGGGGCTATGGTCTATAGTTTGAGACAGTTGTTAATATTGCTAGGCCTCTCACTGCTCATCACCTTATTCCGGCCCCAAATGTCCTGCAGGGTAGTGGTGCTGTCCCCATTTTCTACATGAAGAAACTGAGGCTTACAGAGGGTCAAGGACTTGCTCAACGTCACAGTGAGTGGTGCCTGTGCTGTCAAACTCACACTCCCTGGCACCAGGTGCCCTGCCAGGCCTGGCCGGCCCATCTCTAAGACCCAGGTGCCTTGTCCTAAACCAGCGTTTCTCAGCCTCAGCACCATGCACATTTGGGGCTGGAAAACTCATTGTCATAGGGGCTGTCCTGTTCACTGTAGGATGTTTGCAGCATCCCTGGCCTCCACCCACCAGATGACAGTAGCCCACCCCACCACTTGTGACAACCAAAAATGTCTCTAGACATTGCTAAATTGCCCCCAGTTGAGAACCACTGTGTTAAACACACATTACATATTGCTAAGGGCATTTTTGCCAAAAAGTCAATAAGTGGTTTTCACGTTTAGAAATCAAGCGAGAGTTGGATTTAACAACATTTAGTTACTTCTAAATTCCTTTTCAGTGTTGGGTTGTTTTTTTCCTCCTCTGACAATAGCTTTCAAATTCCTTTCTCTAAAATTAGACCTGTCACTGAAAATTGCTTATTTGATGCAGTTGCCTCCCTCCTGAGCACTTTGTCCTCTGCAGGAAAACAAGGCTTTCATGGGAACGTTCAGTCTCTCGCCAGCAAGAGGGAGCCTCCTTGTTGTAGAGTCCGTCCCCTTCCCTGGGTAGGCCACAATGGCTCCCACACCCTCGGTGCTGCTCCCCTCACCGTGACCATCCTCAAGCATGGAGGCCCTGTCCCATGGTCCCTGTGTCTCCAGCTCCCAGAGCTGTCTGTGACACATGGCAGGCACCTGAACGTTTGGGAAAGGAGTAGGAAGTGAGAAGAATAAGGAGGCAGGGAGGGCACTGTATCTACCAAGTCCTTGGGTTGATAACTGGACCAACACCAATTGCCAAACCTGGTGCAGGGAAGCACAGTTTTCTTGAACCTTCCTGACTTTTCTGGAATGCCAAGAATTATGGTGGTACTTATCTACCTTGGGTTGCCCTTCCTTTCTCTGGATTCCTTCCTTCTTGAACAGAGGAAGCCAATTATATGGACTTCCTTGGGCTTCAGTTTCCTATTATGAAAAGTGGGGATGATGTTAATACTCAGTTTGCACAGCTGCCGTGAGGATTGTATGAAATCGCGTACGTGGAATATCTCACAGACGGTAACTTGTGGGCTTGTGTTAGATCTCCCTCCCCGCTTGCTGTTATCAGCAAGACTGTTTCTAGCATTGTTTTCTTCTCTCTCGATGCCACACATTTTCAAACTTTGCTCTCAGATGTGCAGCCTTGGTTGGGAAACAAGACACCCAAGCTTGCTAGAAATAGCTGTAAAACAAGAGGTGCTGGGGTTGGAATCGGGTTTGCAGATCTCCAGAATCGCTGCTCCTTCCACTCCATCCCCCGCCTCAGTGGGAGGAGACTGTCAAGAGCCCCATTGTGTCTTGGACAAGGTCAACGCAAAGCCCGCTGCGTGGGCGGGTGCCCCGCGGGACACACTCCAGATTGCCTGGTGCTTCGGTTGTACACCGCCCTCAAACTGCCCGATCAAATTAACCTCAGTGGGAGCAGAGGCCGAGCAGTTACCTTCCTGCTCTAAAGATGATACAGGGAGACAGAAATGGCTTCGTGGAGCCAACAGAATGAGACCAGCAGTTTGTGTGACATCCAGGCCTTCCCCCTGGGGACAGGGCCAGTCCAGCAGGTCCTCCCTACAAGCCCTGGACGTGGGGAGAGGGTCTGAAGGGCCAATTTCTGCCTATGGATGGGTAAATGCGTTTAAGTATGAGATGACTGTAGAGCGCTTCTATAACCGTCCCCCAGGAGCATGTGATTTTATGCACGATGACTCCCGTCACTAATGTTTAAACCCTTCGGGGACACCCAAGGCAGTGTTGCTACAGAGAGAACTGGAAGCAGGGAAGAAGGGGGGTGGAGGGGATGTCAGGAGCCAGGAGGGAGCACCATGTGGGAGGCCAGAGTGTAGCTTCCAGGGGAGGACACATATGGAGTGGGATTAGAGGCTGGAAGCCTCCAGAACATGAGCGGGTCAGGGCATGGGGTTCAGAACTTAGGCTGACAATAACACAAATGTCAGATCCACTTTTGCACGGGGTGGCAGCAGGGCAGCCTGGGGGATGAAAAGGGCCCATAGAGACCCTTGGCTATTGAAATCAATGAATTTGGGTGAAGGTTAAGAAAGGTGTGTTAGGCTCCTCTGATCCAACCCTGAAGATGTGCTGGGGACCACGGTTACCTTCAAAAGGGGAAGAGATTATATAAACAAATCCAGCGCAGACTGAGGCTTTTTGGAATAATTTTAGCTTCTGTCACAGCCCTAAGAGCTATAAGAATTAGTGAATTTATCAGAAGCCACTCTGTACTCAATGGATGTGACAGCAAAGATGGAGTCTAAAATTCTAATTTATCAGCTCCCTCAAGTGTGAGGCAGACGCGGGACAGGAGGGTCTTTGTTGTGCGTGAACGTTAAGACCCATGTTTGCCAACAGACGCATCGATGCCACAGGCTCAGAGACGTGCAAGCAGTCGTTTCACGGGAGTCTCTAGGGCGCCTGTAACTTTACAAAGAATTACTCCCTCCCCTACAAAATAAACCGTCTGTATAGATGAGGGGGTCCTAAATTAGATCTTCTCCCCCAGTGCATGAAAAACTTTGCTAAACAAATGCTGCTAACAAGACAAATTTCTAGAAACAAGAGCTTTCTCCAGAAACCAAGAGCCGTGTTCAAAGAGCGCTCCCAGCCGCAGTCACCTAACGAGCTGTGATGTTCCAGTCCATCATGATGAGTGTGTAATGCTGTCCAAGGCCCTTCGAGGCAGCGGGTTTCCCGTCAGATTTCAGATATTAGTTCAGCATGGTTTTCTATCATTCAACAGACTCTTGCTTTTTAAGGAAATGGCTGGGATTGGGAGAAAACAAATGATTTGTGTCCAGCCTCTTGCTCCAAAACTTTAAGTAAATAATGAGCAGTGACAATTCTTACCAGGTTCCTGACACAGGAGGGGAAGGGATCTCAGCAGGCGGAGTGAGTTGCCTGAGGTCACACAGCGGGTTCAGGATGGAGCTGGGTCTCCAAACCCCACATCCGTGACTATCTGATGTTCCGTGAGGGTCCGTTAGGGTCAGGTTTGGCCTCATGTGGCGGGACCCTCAACAGTGACCTAAACAAAAGTGGTTTTCTCTCTCACGTGAAGGAGATTGTGAGGGCTGGTACAGCAGCCCCACATCCTCGTTTGCCCAGGGCAGTCTCTGTTTATTCCTGTTGTCCTAGAATAATTATTAACACTCTGAAAAGGGCCCAGGTTTGGATAATAAATTATAGAATCACTCTAGTGAGTAAGGATACAGGCTCCTTCTAACTTCCTGCTCCAGCTTCTGAACAGGTGGCTTCCATCCCAAGGCAGGGGCTCGATGTATAGTTATGCAGGTTGTGCACTGCACAACTCTCAGGAGCATCGTTTACATTGCACCTATTATAGATTTATTATGACAGTTTTCCAGTGGATGTCAGTAAAGTGTCTTATGGATCACAGACCTTTTCTAATTCGCACAAAGTTACTATGGAGGCTAATAGCAGTGCTGTCCTGAGGTCACCTAGTGATCCAAGAGGACTGCTGAAGCTCCAGCCATCACATTCACCATCCTGACAGCAGAAAGGAGGAAGGGCAAAAAATGAGGTCACGCTCCTTGATGAAGAGCTCTTTTTAAGGAGACTTCCTGGAAGTCCCACCACCATTTCCGTTTACGTCTCATTGCCACACTTGGCTGAGCACATGTCGCTACCAGTAATGTAGGAGTTCTGTTAGGAGAAAATGTGAGAGAAGGGAGAAAACAAGGGGTCAGCCACGCCACATGGCTCCACCTGTGGCTCTGGATTTAGCAGCGAATCTCCGAGACCACCTTGTACCCGAATTTAATTTGGGAAACGGGTGCCTCTCACTGACCCGCCTCCCTTCTTTTCTCTTCTGCATTACAGATTTGGTTCTACACCAACAGTATCTTCGGAAAAGCTGGGATCCCTCCAGAAAAGATCCCATACATCACCTTGAGCACAGGTGGCATCGAGATTTTGGCTGCCGTCTTCTCTGTGAGTAAACTGGGCTTCGTTCCTGAGAACATCACAGGGGGGGTAAACAGCCTGGGGTGGCGGTGGGGGACCCGCAGGCAACAAATGGGCTCGCCTTTCAAGAAGCATGCCCTTTGTCACTAGGAGGACGTCTGAGTTTTAGGAATTTATCATGAAGTTCATCACCAATGTTTCAGCCATCTGGAGAATATTCTTATCTATATTTTACTTCCCTATTGTCTTCCTTTTAACAAATAGCCCCCTTCTTTGAACTCTCACCTAGTCACAAATGATGCGATATGATCAGCACCCTATGAGGAGGGCCACATCTCCCCCAGAGTCGGGATCAGAGTCCATGTGAGCCTAACGTCGGTTGCCATGACTTTAAAAATGTTTCACAACTGTTAGCTGTCTTACCACCCCAAACATGTCGGAGTCTGCAAAGCAAAGCAAAGGAGAAGGGACATTCCAGTGGATCGCTGTAACAGAGAGGGAGACTTTAATAATAAGCAAAAATGTCCAAAAGAAGACGTAGCGCTCGTCACTCTTTCTCGGCCTCCAATATGCAAAATAAACATTTGGGAGGAGGGGGGAGTTGGGAGACTTTAGAATCTAGCGGAAATTGCACAGGCTTTGGAATCAGACCAAACTGGATTTGAATCCCAGCTCTGGAACTTATTGGCTGTGTAATGTTGGACAATGCACTCAACCTCTCTGAGATTCAGTTTCCCTCTTGATGAGAAGTTCATGCCTCTTCTACCTTGTAGGTGTGTGGTTTGTGCCTTACATTTTAGGCACACAGTACACGATGGGGTTCTTTTCCAAAGGAAAGAGAAGAGGGTTAGATCAGAGTAACGTTCTCTGACCTTGATGGATTGGCTCATTTATTTCCCCTCTTGCTCGCTGATTTGCACTGACAAGGTTTATGCCAGCGCAAACTGGCAGAGGCTTCCGATCGCATTTCTGACTCACTTTCAACAGAATACTTTATTTTGCTCCCTGCTTTTAATGGGGTGTTCTAACAAGATGCTTTTAAAAATGGATGCCATAAAAAGGATGGAGGTCTGATGTTTGGTCTCCTTCTCCTTCCACGCACAGTCTTTTTGTTAGAGGGGAAACATTTCAATGTTTCACAATCTGAAAGTTTCACAAAATTCTTGTCTTAAGTTATAGACTCCACCCAATCGTTGTTATTAATTTTCATTGATCAGCAGAAAAGCATAGATGGTATGGAATGAAAATGATGTGAAAATTACAGGGTTTGTTTTTTGGTAAAGTATTTTGTTGTTATAAGAAATCAACACGAGCTTATTAGAGTAAGTTTGTAACATTCAGAAAAATAGAAAGAAACAAAGGAGAAATCACCCATGATCATACTACTCAAGGGAATTTGGCAAAATTTCCCCCTGTCTTTTCTGTGCATAGATGTATGTTTTACTCTTTCACAGCAATAATCCGATTCTATATACTGATTTTAATCCTGCTTTTGTTCATATAACCTTATGTCAGAATTATTTTCCACTTCATTATTTATTGTTCGAGTAAATTTTTTATTAAAGTATAACATATATAGAGAAAAGTAGGTTGGCCCTCTCCCCTCTGAATTAACAGTAGTTGTGCAAGCTCTATCCTTCAAAAACTGGCTATACAGTCATTTCCTTGACTGTTGTCTTGCAGGGGGTGGCAGGGGGTTGTTGAGCGTCTCTGCTCAGAGCCTGGACAGCAGGGCCACACCGCCTGGATTCTGATCCCAGCTCCATCCCCTTTGACCTGTATGAGCCTGGGTAAATTATTCAACAGCTCTGTGACTCAATTTCCCCGATTCTGTGATAAGGACACCACTCTTGCCTCATGGGGATGGGGTGAGGATTAAAGGAGTGAGTACACATTTCATGATGCGAGCAGCGCCTGGCAAGTGATGTGCACTCAGGAGGGTTAGCTATTCCTCTTCTCTTTAGGTAGGGTCGGTTGTTTGTCGTTTTAAATAAGGCCGTGGTGGCTGTCTTTACAGAGAGCGGGATTGTGTAGTGACTCGCACAGTCTTTTATAGCTGAGGAAACCAAGTCCCAGAGAAATGACTTACCCAGGGCACGCGGCCAGTGGGGTCAGATCCTGAGGAAGTAGGGGAAGCCCCGACTCCTCCCCAAGACCCTGAGTGCTTGACATGGGGGCTCATGAAGGCTCACACCACTCCTGACAGACCGGTCATCGCCCCCTTTGAAAGAGGAGCAAATAGAGGGAGTGGTGGTATCTCCATCTGCGGTCTCCTAACTCCAGAAGCCCGCCACCCTGGCCCCCTCTCTATGGCCAGCAAATCATCTTCATTAAAAGCTGAGAATATTTGACAAAGTATTTCTTGGAAGTACTAATCCCAGGAAGAAGGGTAAATGACCCTCCTAGGAGAGAAAAGGAGGACCTTTCTAAAATCAGGACGGGGACTGCAGCCTCTGAAGAGTCTGCCGCTGCTGCCTTCCAGCTTGGATCGCGGAGGATCCTGTGTGTCCTAGAGATGTAAGAACCTTTGTGTGGCCCCAGAGAGGGGAGCGAGGACTTCATGGCTGCGGTGGTGGATTCATTCATTCATGCACTTATCCGTTCCACAAGCAGCTCTGGAGCACCCAGATCACGCTCGTGCTAGGAGGTCACCAGTGAAGCTGTCGTGATCTAGAGAGGAAGACAGACCCAGAAACAGACATGTACCACGTGCAACACTGGGATGAGCTCTCCTGTGAGGGCTTCTGGGAGGGCTTCCTGGAGGAGGGGCCCAGGAAGCCAAGAACTGAAGGGCCAGCAAGATTTAGTCAGATGAAGGGAAGTGAAGTGCATTGGGCAGCCTGTCCCTTGGCCCTGTGGGCATGGTCCCCAATCATCTGCACTCCTTCCTAGTTTATCTTCTAAAAGAGCTGGACATGCAGAATAGTCCACTGGGAACAGTCCTTAAAATAGTAGCATTTACCCCAATCCCTGGAACACCATGATGTTGGTTCAACATGAGACCGGGAGCCCGGGGTGGAACAACGTGCTGGGGGAGAAAGAGTTGTGGCTTTAGAGCCTGGCAGCTCTGAATTCAAATCCTAATCATCCATTTACCAGCTGAGTGGTTTTGGGAAAATTGCCCAACATCTCTGAAGTTATTTGTTCATCTGTAAAATGGATAAAACCATGCCCATCTGTGGTAGGCAGAAAACTGGCCCCCAAAACGTCCAAGTCCTAATTCATGGAAGGATGAAAACGTTACCTTATATGGCAGAAGAGGCTTTGCAGGTGTGATTAAGTTAAGGCTCTTGAGATGGGGAGGTTATCCTGGATTATCCGGGTGACCCAATGTAATCACAGTGTCCTTATAAGTAAAAGAGGGAGGAGGAGAGTCAGACTCAGAGAAGGAGATGTGCTGACCAAAGCAGAGGTTGGAGTGAGTCGGTTGTTGGCTTTGAAGGTGGAAGAAGGGGCCACAAGCCAAGGAATGCAGGTGGACTATAGAAGCTAGAGAAGGCAAGGAAGCAGATGCTCCCCTAGAGCCTCCAGAGGGAACACAGCCCTGCCAACAGCTAATTTTTGCTCCATGAGACCTATTTTAGACTTCTGACATCCAGAACTGTAGGAGAATAAGTATGTGTTTCTTTAAGCCACTAAATTTGTGGCAATCTGTTACAGCAGCCACAGGAAACCAATTCACCACGGTACAGTATAATTGAAACAAAACTCAGTGTGAAGGCCCCTGCACCCTTCCTGACTGAGTTGATATTCAGGAAGTGCCTTGCCCTTCACAAAGCTTTTATTATCCTGTTTGCAAAAATATAGATACTATTTCATCTGACCTTGTGAGGTCATTGCCTATCAAAAAGGACTTTCCAGTTTTTTTCTTTCTTCTTACCGAGAAGTCTATTTTGACAGTCTATTAAAATGGCTTTGGTGCCTGATAAAATTGAGGGGGAAAGACATTTTTGTTCATTTGACCTGCAGTTCATTTTGGCTCATGGCATCGTTCATCGGCTTGGGCAGCTGTAAATAATTGCCATCTTGCAGAAACAGCTGGTTTTCCAAATTGATTTTCTTGGTGCAGAATTAACCCTCTCATGAGTGAGCATCCACTGAGCATCATTCGGGCCATGGGAGCCTGAGCATCTGTGCCACGTGGGGCAGCGGCTTGTGGAGCACGAGGCTCATTTGTTGAGGAGCAGAGATTCTGTGCTTTTTCACATCAGAGGAAACAGAATTCACACGTCACTCTTACTCCTTACTCATCGCAGTGAGTTTTTGTAGCTATCAGGAATGGACTATGCCATAGAAGTGAAGTAAAAAAAAAAAAAATCCTACTGGTTTCCACTGCCTACCATTCCCTTTGCTTCCCAATGAAGTCCATGATTTCAGAATCAAAGCCGTTAGGGTTCACTGCCACATCTCTAGCCACTGGATCAGCACATGTTGGAGGAGAGAGTGGGAAGAGGCAATGAGGCAGAATGATGGAGTGTTTGGGCTCTGTGGTCTCCTGGACAAACGCTTACTAGCTGGGTGACTTTGGGTCAGTTACTTAACCTCTCTGAGCCCCCATTTTCTCTTAGGGAAAGTGGGGGTAATAACAGATCTATATTTCAACAGGTATCATCATGAGAATTATACAGTAATGCACGGTGCTTCACGTAGAGCCGGTGCTCGATAAATTAATTATTGTTATGGGCTGAATTATGTCCCCACAAAATTCATGTGTTCAAGTTCTAACCCCCGTTACCTCAGAACGTGACCTGATTTGGAAATAGGGTCATTGCGGATGTAATTAGTTAAGATGAGGTCATACTGGAGTAGAGTGGACCCGTAATCCAATATGACTGATGTCCTTATATAAAGGGGGAATGTGGACACAGACACACACAAGGAGAACTCCATGTGAGTTTTGAAAGTATGCTGCAAAAGCCAAGAACTACTAGAGCTGGGAGAGATGCCTGAACAGATCCTTCCCTGCACCTTCAGAGGGAGCATGGCCCTGTGGATACCTTGATCTCGGATGGACTTCTGGCCTCCCG